AAAAAGATTCTCTCAATTTTTTTTTTTTGGTGCGGGAGTAAAAAACTATAAAAGATCATAAAGTTATGAAAATCAGAATAGAAATCTCCCTACAATAGGGATCAATTTGTTGAATTTCAATGATGGAAGCAGTGGCCTCAATAGCAGCTGGCAAACATCCTCGACTCTCCCATGCGATATCTGAAAGCAAATTAGTCTTTCATCAGCATATATCCTTCTGTATCATATTGAAAAGGCTTGCAAATAATCAGCATCAAATCTTACTCTTTTTAGAGCAAAAGCAATGGAATCTGGGGAGTCTGAGAGAAAGAGAATCTTTAACCAAAACCCATTCATCCCAGTTCAACCAAGGCACCAATTTGAGTGCATATGACGAACTTTGTTGCTCGCATATTTCGTTCAAGTCTAAAAATGACTCCATCAAAGGCTTGATCAAAAATCCTCAAGGAGCAAGCTTCAAACCACCGGGAGGAGAGTATGAATTTAAAATACCAAAATTGAAGCAGAAAACTGAATATCAGGTGCCGCGAGGGAGGGAGTGAGGTAAATGTATAACGCGAGCGCCGGTGCAAATGACCACCGTCACTGAGCGACGAGATTGAGAGGAGGTGGGAGCAGCGGCGTGAGGTTAAGCGTTGAGTGTGAGGTCGTCGACAGTGGGGCGGGCGGGGGGCGCGGGCGGCGGCGGCCGCCAGCGCGTCGTAAGTCGTAACTAGTAAGATTGTGGGTGAGCTTTATAAAAAAAAACCCAAATTAAATCATATAATATTATTATAATAATTAAACATGAGTACAAATAAAAATTATTCACTCCATTTAAAAATATAAAATATTTTTAATAAAATCTTACCTCACTATAAAATAATTATTTATTTTTAAATTAATTTTATTTTTTATATTTATCTCTATTTAATACTCTATAATAAATATAAAGTTTTTATCAGGGGCATTTAAAAAAAAATAATGATTACACCTTGAAAAATTAAAAATATTTTATATTTGTTAATAGAAGAAATCTATGATAAACTTATAACCGGAACTTGATCTATCATAAGAGTTTATCTTCTATCTTATATTAATAAATTAATAAATTATATTAAAAATATGATCACATTATCGACATATCATATATATGTATAATAAATTAAATAATCAATATATAATTATTTTGTTATTTTAAACATATAAATAAATGTCTAAATGTAGTTTTTCTTGGGCAAAATAATGTTGATCAGTTAAGTGATATTTCCTTCATTTAAAAATATAAGGTATTTTTAATCGAATTTCACCCCTTAATAAAGTAATTACCTATTTTCTAACTAACCCTATTTTTTTATATTTACCTATATGAAACATCCTACAATAAATATAAAGTCATTAATTAATAGGGACACTTTTAAAAGAAATAATGATTACACTTCAAAAGATTAAAAATAACTTATATTTTTTAATATTCAACTCCTTAAAAAATATTTTATATTTTTTAACTAGAGTACTTCCTAGTCTTATATGTAAGTTGTCTTTTAAAAAATTTTTGCAGTCCTAAATATAATTAAGCTACTTTGCATGAGTTTATATGCCATTAATTATTTTATTTTAAATATGCCTTTCATTTTAATTTTCAAATAAATAATTTTTAAAAAAATTATGGTAAAAATTTTAATAACGTAGCTATTTTTTCTTTATTTATATAAATTTGTTGTAAATAATTTATTAAAATAAATTTAATATTTTATTATTTGTTTAATAGAACATAATATATGCATGCACGCTGGTAGACCAGCCTTACAAAAATAGGTCTAGCCCATCTAAGCCGACCTTTTCAGTTTTACATGCTTGCAATAAATCGTTTGGATCAAGGCTATTTGCTATGTTCATTCAAGAAATTCCCAATTACTTCTCCACCTAAATGGTTTATCTGGATTTGCAAACTTAGAAATTGAGGACAAGCATCTGTTTCTGTTATAATGCGCGAAGAATTTCAAATCTTTCACAAAAATGAAATGGGATAAAGAATGCACTTTCAAATCCGAATCTCTTTTGGCATGCTTGTCTTCGAACTGCCTTGCATTGGATTTATCGATGTTTGGTGCCTTCCTTGCAACAACACACGAGTCTCTTTGTAGTTTTCTATCACAAGCTTCCTCTTCCCGTCCTTGCTGAAGGATGCTCTGATGAATGGACATTTTGTAGAAGACTTCCACAAGCTTCTCCTTTTCTTTTGTCCCATTTCATTCATTGTTGGGGATTGCATTGATGACTTTTTTTTCTGGGTACTTTTCCATGTGGTTCCGGGGAAAGCGGTTATTGACCGTTTTCTTTTGTTATGTTTTTTATAATGTAAATTTGTTTTTAATTAAAAGGGAGAATTACAACCAACGCTCTCTCAAGAAAATTAATTACGTACAAAAACCAGTAACATATTCCATTTGAAAAAAAATAAATTATGTTTCACATTTTAACAATAATTCATTTCGCATTGGTCTTTGTTCATGATTAATTCTCTTGGGAGGGGGCTGGTTGTAATTCTTCCTAATTAAAAAAAAAATTCCCAAATTCATTTCAAAAAATGTTATAACTTAATTATCAATGAAGTTGTCTGGTAGCAATGGTCATCATCTTTTTTGACCAACAATGGTCATCCTCTTCATTCGAGGATATTGTTTTTAGAAGTTATTACATCACATAAGTTTTTGGGACAACTCTGAGGATTAAGTGAATCATTCATTAAAAAAAAAAAACAAATGATGACATAACAGTATAAAAATTAGGAGGAAAAAACAGAACTTAGGACGGGAGAGAGAGAGAACCTAAAAGCTCAAGAGCAGTGTGAGTTTGGACTTTTTGCATGCACGTCTTATGTGGGCTATCTACGCAGAAGAATGCTAGTCATCATTTAAACACCATTTAAAATCTATTTAGCCAATTAATCACCATTAAGCAGAACAATTTCTGAACGTTGGAGCATTAATTTGTATTAAAAAAATTCTTTTGAGGCATTTAAACCTCCAACATTTCAAAACCCCTTTGGTAAGCTATTTTAAATAAATATTTTGAGCGAAAACTACCCAAGGGACAAATCATTGAATTTCAACTGAGTTGGCCAATTTTAAACTACTATTATGTGCGCAAGACCGCTCCTTTTCTCAGTCCATTTACTTTGTTCAATTTCAAAATATGTACTATGTATAATTTTAAAATATGTACTATATATAATATATGTATGTATTATTATTTTTTTTATACATGGAAAGAGTTTGAACCCTTGATCTCTCTCTACATCACCTCTTCCCCTACCCTTGCCACTTGAGATACACACAAATAATTTAGTTGATTTCCTAGTTTTGTGTATTAATTCCTTTGAGATGTAAAGATTAAAAAAAAATAGGATTTGCCTCTTTGATAAGATTTTTTTTTAATACATATAGGCAACGATCAAACCCTCTAACAATATGCTTTAAAAGATCCAGCTACTTCAAACTATACTAAATTTTGTTAGCGCGCATTTGGTTTTTCATTTATCAAAATTTCTTTTGACGCAAAAACTAGTTTAGTGTAAGTTAATTATTATAATAAAATTTATATTTAAATTCATTTTTTTTAAAAAGTCAATTTGATAATTGTTTGGATTATATATGGTTTTCTAGCTTTAATGAAACTAAGACAATTTCATCACCAAAACAATTCCATTGTATAGCATCCACATACAAATCATGGAAAGATTCACCTCTGAATGAAGCTAAAACTTTACATGGCATGTACACATGGGTCCCAAATAAGCTCAGAATCATGACACCATCATTGTTTTTTAACTCTGAATTATTGGGATTGGTTCTTAGCGTATTATCGGAGCCTAATACAGCAGAAGAACCATGATTTCTTGTTTCTCTTTTTCCCCTGCATAATCATAAAAAATTATATCAATATTATACTATGCTAAACAATGTGTATTATATTGGTTACACAAGTAGGGTTAGCAACAGGGCTAAGTTTAACCTAAAATCTATACGAAGCCCCCCCTAAAATTAAGGCCTAAGTCAACTACAATTCCAATAATATATGTATGTAAAACGTGTATATATTTATAAACAGCCTAATCACAGGCTTGAATCTATCCTATTTCTTAAATAAGTCAACCCAAACAAACATAAAACAAAATAGGCTATATAACCTTGATAGGTCACTTGACCTGTTTTGATGATTTTCTTGAACACTAATAACGATTAATTAATGCCTCTACACTTATAGAATTAGACAATTGATGGTAAAGTGAATTTGTGATATAGTTGATTGAGGGCTAAGCTAAGGATTTTGATCATTCATTAGCTTTCATGGCCTAAGAAATATCCCTAGAAATGGGTTGTAGCTTCTAATGTGACTGTGTTCGAGCTGCAAGATAGCAGTTTGTCTCTCTTATCTTAGAAGCTAATGATTTAAAAGAACAAATAAAAATTGGAAAGGCAGGATACTGCAAAACAGCCCCAAGCCCTCAGAAACTTCACTCTTTACAAATGCATGAATCCAATCTGATATGGGAAGATGTAATTGATTCAGATCTGTCAAACTCACTCTCCATCTAGTCCCTATTACTCTATAGCATTCAAAATGTTGTTGATGAATCAATCACCATTTGATGTCTCTGATGTCACTAATACCCAGCAATCTAAAATCTGTTATACACACAATATTTTACCCACACAAATCTCTAATTTTAATGATGCTATCATACTGTTTCATTCGAATTACAATATTCACCTACCAATGGTCTATGAGTTAACAAAGGGGGCATGGATCATCAAAGCAATGGTGAGCAATAACTAACTTATGAAGATCCAAATTATTTGGTATCTTCTTCAGGAATGAAGAAGGATCAAGTTTAAGTACAACGACATCTAGATATTAATTATGTGCACACTTATACACATTCTCTAAACATGCACATCAAGATGATAATAGTGATGCAATTAATGAAAACAACAACAATTAAGAAAAACCAATGAATAAAATAGAAGATAAAGAGAAATAATGGAGTCTCACCATGGGATTAGGAGTAGCAGAAGCAGAGGGCCGTTCTTCTGGTGTACCATGATGATGACGATCATGCTTGTTATGATGATGATGATGATGATTTTTGGGAATGTCGTCATGATGATGATGATGATGATCTTGAAGTTGGCTTTGACGTTTGATATCAGACAAGTCAGTCTTGTGATGTTGTCGATCAGCACGAGCCTTTGTGAACACCACTGTGTACCCTGAACTCACTTCGGCCCCACCATTCTGATCCCACCCCCCAAATTGTGGCACTGACATTCGAGGCCCTTTCCGCTGCATACATCCCCAAAAATTAATATCATATGTTTGTTATTTATCATGCGTCATTGTGTATATGGAAGATGCATGTATATCTTGAGGATAAAAATAGGAAAGAGGAATAGACGAAAACAAGAAGAAGAAAAACCTTTCCATATCCATTTTTATTCTTCACCTATTTGTATAGTTTGCGTTGCACAATATGTAGACTAATAAATATGTCAATCGAGTTGTGGTTTAGTTACATGAAAACTTTTCTATAAGCAGGAAGTTTTAGGTTCATTCTTATTTATAACATCAAGGCTTTAGTGCCTCTCACACTAAATAAACAAAAATAAGCTAACACACAAGCCAAAAGTTGCTTGGTTTGATTTTGCTTATAACTTTAGGTTGTAAATACTTGATGCTCTAGATAAAAGAAAGGTGCCACATATATGATGGGATATACCGTGTCTAAAAGACAAGGTCCACACTCCTATTTCTTATGTTAACTATCAACTATATAAGAATAGCATGTATTTGTATACTAAAAGCTTGATACTTTCATCTTGACATTGTGTATTGGTTGATGCCCCCTTTATATCAACTCTCACCAACCAATACAAAGTCAAGATTCTTAATACATTTCATTAATTTGAGAACATATATCCAATTAATTTGAAGATCCCATTTTGGGACTATTTAATTTTAATCTCAATCGTGGTCTCAATCTTCCAATTTTGTGTACCAAAGTCCAATGTAAATGGGGTCATAATGTTCTATCTGATCAATGTAGGATCATTGAATCTATAAATTGCTCACAATATTATGCCATAAGATGACAATCACATTGTGGCATAGTGTAGCAGCATGAAAAGTGGATAGATACTTGGCTTTATCAACATAATTTTTAGTTTGAAGTTGGAAAATATTGATTAATAGGAAAATTATCTTTTAGTACATGTCAATTGCCAATAAGTTATTTGTCTTATTTTTTTAGATATATGGCTATCCAATTGAGTCAGATTTGAATATTGCCATACCTAATTGTGAGTAAATCCCTCAGAGGTATTTTTTGCATTCACACAAATCGAACTTTAAGACCTCATGCTTAAGCAATCATAATTCATTCAACTAAGAAACATAATCAATAGTTACACCTAATTCTAACTAATATAAAAAAATATATGGAACATAATCAAGTTTAATAAACTAATTTTCACAAGGAATGTCCTCGTGAACAATTTAAACCATTATATTCAAATCAGATATGAACAATTTAAAAAAGATAGACATGTGGTATAAATCAAATCCAAATACAAAAGATCAATTTATTACTCTAACATCAAAAACAATCATTTAATAATTTATATCCCAGAAATGCAAGGCTACTTATTATTACCTCTGTATGTTCCATGCCAAAAAAGAGATAAAAGAGGCCAGCCGAACTAAGAGATTTTGTTCAGCTGGAACTTCTATCTCAGCAAGCATGTAAGATTGAAAGGGGTGAGAATTTGATTATCATGGTGTTATATGATCTTTAAACCCTACAAGGTACTTAATTAATTAATTTTGTGGGGGACTTCTCAACTTGTTCTTTTTCCTCATTATATGTTATCTCTCATCTTGAAGATATATTCTATTTTTAGGGTTTTAGTTATTGTTAGAACAAGAAGAACATGAGTGAAATTAGGGCACAAAATATGCTCAACCACTTATAAATACAACGATATTCTGTTAATAATCGGATTCAAACTCCCTAAAATAGGAATTTTTCAAGTCTTTTTTTAATGAATTGGTTGATTATGAATAATTGGGATTGTTATCACAGGACAAAAGATTAATAAACTTGTCTATGATATTTAAGTATCATCTTTCGAAATGAGAATTATATTATTATGACTCTTCTAATAATCAAACAAATTTTTATTTTTGAATTTTTAGAAGTATTCTTCATCAAAGTTGACACTTCTGATGGAAGGCACCATGTCCATTTCATAGGCATTTGTAAACTAAAAGTTTGATAGAGTTTCATCACAGACCTAGATCCATAGACTCCATGACCTGAAAAAAAAAGGAATATAGAAAAATAACATGAGCGTGCATTTTCAATTTTCGGGACTATTATAACATCACCCCAACTATCGTACCCCTTTTCAGCTTGGTGGAATCATCTGTCACCAAGCCTTTGTACCTCTCTTATCCAAGTGACCATTCACATGACTATTGTTAAATTCTCTCTTTAAACCTAGTGTTTGACAAAAAAAAATATTGCAAGGCGTGTCAGAGATGCAGGGTCTCAAAAGAATGGAAGAATTTGACTTCTAATCAAATGCAAGAAATCCAAGCTCTTTTACCACAATTCTTTGATGAGAGAGGACTCCTCTATTTATAGATAGTCTTGGTTTGATGTCCAAACCTTATGATCATCACTTTCCTTAAATTTAAGAAGCATTCTTTCATCATGATCACTTTTCCAAATTCCATGATTCAAGTATCATGGGTGGAGTGTGAAAATAATGGCCTAAACCCAGTGTTGACTTAATGGATAAGGCTTCATAAATATTCAATTTTAATTATTTTAAGGCTAATTAAATTGAGTTGAGTTTGAGCCTTCAAATTCACAATTGAATATAAACACATACTAAAATCTTATAGGAGGTCAAAACCTTGAATGGAGAGGCTTTTAGCAAAAATAACATGTTCATCGCTTGAAGAATACTTAACCCTCTTATATTGCCAAGAGATATGGGTTAAGCGCTCACAAGGCTTAGACTTTCTAATATCAATATTGCTAATTTTAGTTCTTTTACTTATCTTCTTGTTTAGATCAAGTGACTCAACTCTCCTTTTGCACATGGCGATATTTGGATAATTCACATGAAACCTATCACCTGTCTCCTTGTGCTGTGACTGACTTTGATACATGACAACCTTCTCTGACAAAACCTCTTCAAAATATCAAGTAGCGACTCTAATATAATCATTTATGCATAAAAGACATATCCACTAAAGGAGCTTTTATAAGTAGTACCAACTGACCAAGACCCTACAACAGAAACTAAAACTTGAGGAAGAAAGTTTGAAGTTGTTTTACATTATCTAACAATATGTCATTATATCCAATGCCCATATAAGTAGAACATATTCCTCCTATTTGTTCTAAGACTGGTGACACCCTCATAATTTTACCATCAAGTAGTTGACAACTACATTGACAGAATATAAACTAAATCCAAAGATGAGAACTTGAAAGGTGCAAACCCCAACAATTTAAATTACTTTTATCATCATACCAAATATTTATTTTTTGCAATACTCTCTCCAAAGTGTCCCCCGGTCAGCTTGGGGTAATACTCCAATGGTAAATCATAAACTTAAATCCATACAAGGAAATGTTGAACATGCAAATAAAACAAAACGGTATTTGGCTTCCATAGGGCAATAAAGAATCCATCCAACATACATCACCAATGGAAGAGCATGTAGTCAATGGCTTTACAATTTAGTGGCATGAGAACTTTTTTGTAAACGAGAGGTCGTGAGATATAAAAGCATGTAATTTAAATTATTTTTATATTAAAAAAAGAGTAAAAAAGAATTATGATGTTGTTGGACCACCGAAATCATTCCTTGCAATTTTCAGTAAATTCCAATCAAAGATTGTAATTTTGAGGCATGCAATTCACGACCATCTAATACCTTAGCAAAAACAAAGTATCTCCTGTTCAAAAATAAATCAGGGTAGTAGAACGAGACATTCACAAAACCACAAAAAAAAAAAAAATAAAGAAAAATAGTTCAAACCTTTTTTTTAAATGTAATAACGTTGGCAAGAAAAAAACCCCTTTAATTTTTTTAAAAAAATCTTCTTATGAAACAAAGCAATATCTTGTTATATTTTAATTTTTTATCATTATATCCAATATAAATTTTTTATATATTATTGTCGAATATAAAATTTGAAGCATCAAATTGAAATTAAAATAATAAATAATGATAATAATATTTTATTATTAATATAATGATAAATACACAGTTTAGAATTACTACTGACTATTTACCATTAATATCACCGACCGACATAGCATTAAGGGATATATGAATAATAATTATTAATTAGAATTAGATGCGAGTACTCTCTTCTTTATCTTCTGCTCCGCGCGAACGATCTGAAAGCAGAGCCCCAATTCTCAGCAGCACCGGTCGGCGACAAGCATGGCGACGATCAGCCTCCGCAAGGGTAACACTCGGCTGCCGCCGGAGGTGAACCGCGTTCTCTACGTTCGAAACCTACCCTTCAATATCACCAGCGAGGAGATGTACGATATCTTTGGCAAGTACGGGGCGATTCGGCAGATTCGCATCGGCACCAACAAGGACACACGTGGCACCGCCTTCGTCGTCTACGAGGACATATACGACGCCAAAACCGCCGTCGATCACCTCTCCGGCTTCAACGTCGCCAACCGTTACTTGATTGTGCTTTATTACCAGCAGGCGAAGATGGGCAAGAAGTTCGATCAGAAGAAGAAGGAGGAAGAGATTGCTAGGATGCAAGAGAAGTATGGGGTCTCCACCAAAGATAAGTAGGCTAATATAATAAATCCCATATAAGAATTTCTAGGGTTTCTTTTGTGTATCTGTAGTTTGGGGATTTGTGAATTATCAGCCGGAGGGAGTTCTAATTGTTCTATTGGAGGGTGTATTATGCGTCCTATGATATGCCCATTGCGGCGATTAATATAACTATGCTTTTACTTTTATTTTGCAGTGTTTAGATGGTATCTTTGCGCTGTGCTGTAACATTTGTACATGGTTGCATACTAAAGATGTTTTAAACTCGTAAAGGTTTAAGTAGCATGATTTTTGAAGTATTTTGAAACCTTGTAGCCAAGAACGTAAACCTAATAACAACAACATCCATGTCGTGCTTCTTGTTCTTGCTAATATCAGGGACCCTTTACTTGATGAAGTTAGATCCCCCAAGAATCTTTATTGGATGGTTTCTAAAAGTTTAATCTTTTGTTTTCCATACTTCGAGGTAGTCGCATTGCACATAGATAAATTGTTCAAACTTAGAACATGATTCCTTCATTCTAATTCAAACTTCAGTTCCTTTTTCGCTAGCTTTCCTGCTCTACTGGTTTCTCCTTTATGAGCGTGAAGATAGACACCGTTATGGTCGCCAGCTTTCGTGTTGTCAGTTGGATTGGACTGAGATAAGACTTAACAGTCTGCCCTCTAAGGGCGTAGGTTATGTGTTTTAATTTGCATGCTACTCATTTTCTTGCAATTGAAAATACAAATTCCGTACTCTGGATCAGTTGCATGATTACAACTGCATTGATACACGGGTTTTCCTAGAAATTCTTCTTATCATATTTTTCAGTATAGCTGCTAGATGCTTCTAAATGTTGGAATCATTTACCAGATGTCTACAATATCTCCAACAATAAGATGCCTTTCTTCTCATGCATGATCTGTTTAGTAGATTTTGCTGCGAAAGAATTTTTTAAGTTGTTCACTTGTTTGGAGAAGTAGTTGATTTGGTTAAGTTTGCCCCACCAAAATTGAACATGTAAATGGCCATGATTTGGTTTGTGTGTTTTCCATCACAAGGGCAGAAAGGTAGCCAGAATGAACTGAAATTTTTGTTTGTTGGAGGAAAGGATCACTTTAATAATACCCAAGAAACTAAGTAAGGGGAAATATAAAACAATAGAAGAATGGTATCCCTGTACAATGGTGCCATCCCAGTAAGATACAAAACAACAACAACAATAAGCCTTTATCCCACTAGGTGGGGTCGGCTACATGGATTGCAAGATGCCATTGTGCTCTATCATTTATTAAGCTTTTAGAAATATTATTAATTAAGAGATCACGTTCAACAACTTCCAAGAGTGTTCTCTTAGGCCTTCCTCTACCTCTCTTAATCGGACTCAAAGTTATATGTTCCACTCTTCTCACTGGTGCCTCCCTTGGTCTTCTTTGTACATGCCCAAACCATCTCAACCGATTTTCTACCATTTTTTCCTCAATAGGTGCCACCCTCACTTTTTCACGTATGTGCTCATTTCGAATTTTATCTTTACGTGTATGTCCGCACATTCATCGTTACATTCTCATCTCTGCTACTCCAACTTTATGCTCTTGCTGTCCCGTTAGAGCCCAGCATTCACTACTATATAACATTGCCGGTCTGATAGCAGTACGATAAAACTTTCCTTTAAGTTTATTAGGCACCTTACGGTCACAAATAACTCCTTTAGCTTTTCTCCAATTAAATCACCCAGCTTGAATTCTATGTGAAATATCTCCACTGATTTCGCCATCATTTTGAATAATGGCTCCCAAATATCTAAACTTTTCCACTTGAGGTATAATTTGATCTCCCAATTTCACTTCCAAATTATTTTCGAATAGTCCTTTATCAAATTTACAATATAAATATTCCGTCTTACTTCTACTCAGATGGAAACCTTTCGACTCCAATGTCCTCCTCCATAACTCAAGTTTGCAATTAATCTCTTCTCTTGTCTCTGCTATAAGAACTATATCATC